ATGTCTCCAATATTTCTCAATCATTCCGGATCAGTTCTTTTTGATGGTATACCTTTATGTCACAAAATTTATTTCCGGTATCAGTTTTGTCTTACGATGACAACTGGCCTCAAAAGCAAAGTGTGCAGAGCAAGCTATGGGGAACCACGAAGGACCTGCTGCTGACATTCGAGTTCATAGAGTCAACCCAACTTATGGTCTGATCTGAGAATACGAAACCGAACGATGAAGAATATGCAAAAAATTCCTGCCACAGGAGGTGAGAAAAGGAATTATCGCATGCTATTTAGAACCAGTTTTAAATTATGGCTGTGAATCCTACAAAATTAATAAACTAAACTATTTCTTGAGGAACCTTCTTGTGGTTTTCACAAATGAATGTTTAAAATTCCTTGAACAATAAAAATGAGTAAAGCGGATATTTTGAAAAAAGAGATGGACGAAAATAACTTTACACAAACATGTGAAAAATAATAGACAGAGCTGATACTATAAATACTGTACGGACTAGGTTGGATGGTAATGATGAATCGCTGAGGCTAAAACGATTGCGTGACCTGGAAGTAAAGCTTGGTGAAGCACGTATATACCGTCTTCGAGGTCGGGACAGAAGACACTTTAACTTTTCGTGAGGAAAAAAAAAAAGAAAAGTACACTGGCGTGGCTCCTAGATTGGAGGACTGAATACTGCATTGAAATGCCAATGTTCAGTGACATCGATAATGAAAACACAAAATAACATATTAGACGGAGCTCGTCATCACATGATGGGATACTGGGAAACGTTGTGATCATTGGAAAGATTTGTAAAAACGATGTAGGAGAAGGCAGCGTGAAAGGTTTTTTGAAAGCCTTTTGTCATAGCATGCAGTGATTTTAGCATATGAATTGATGTAAGTAGTAAAGTAAAGATCCCTTTACACGCCCTTAGGCGCATCTGGCATATGGGAAGAGCACCCATATTTTTACAGACCAGTCGGCACTCGGTGGGTAATGTGGTCAGCATTACCACGGCCGTCTTTACTTTCCCAGGACAGCCCATCCTGGTGCCCATTTGAGGCTGGATCGACCTGCGACGTCCCATACCACGATAAAAATCCCCGCAGCCCACGCAGGTTTCGATCGCGGTACGTTGGATTACGAGTCAGACTCGCAACGCCTTAGCCACGGACGCCGCATATGAATTGATGCATTCTGTTAATGATCAAAGGCTGTGGAGAGAAATCGTCGTGCACGTCAGTCGGCAAGGCACTTGATGATTATTATGTATGTATGTAAGTTGTAACCCACCAGGACATCACACAAGCGATAAACACCCGGTGACACAAAGTGCCACCATGCAGATGAGAATCACCCGTGGAGAGGTCTAGGAAACCCCGTTTAGCCGTTATAGGGCCCCAGGCAAAAGCCAAGTTGGGGTTTTTAAAAAAACCTAAAAACTGCATCACACAAGCTACAAGCGCTCCGTCACCATATTCAACAGCGACGTGTGTATGTAGCCAGTCTGCAGCTGATTCACTGCGGAGGGCTGCAGAGACCGCGGCCACATCCAGTTCCAAACTAGATGTGATGTCGTATGTCAGACATCCAGTTCTAAACTAGATGTGATGTCGTATGTCAGATATCCAGTTCTAAACTAGATGTGATGTCGTATGTCAGATATCCAGTTCCAAACTAGATGTGATGTCGTATGTCAGACATCCAGTTCTAAACTAGATGTGATGTCGTATGTCAGATATCCAGTTCCAAACTAGATGTGATGTCGTATGTCAGATATCCAGTTCCAAACTAGATGTGATGTCGTATGTCAGACATCCAGTTCCAAACTAGATATGATGTCGTATGTCAGATATCCAGTTCCAAACTAGATGTGATGTCGTATGTCAGACATCCAGTTCCAAACTAAATGTGATGTCGTATGTCAGACTTTATGGGGTGGTTGAAAAAAGCTGGGATGGGTTTGGGGGGGGGGGGGGGTGGGGGTGGGGGGCTGTTATTACAGCTAAAGAAAGTGGGAGCCGCAATCCCGTTCTGGTTAGGCCTTCAAGATATCTACGTTTCCCTGCATCCCATCTCTCCCCCCCCCCCTCTTAGTCAATACTCATTTATCAAGATATGGTGATAATGATAGGTGTACTCAACTTCGAATTGACAAATTAAATGACTCATAAAAAAGACAATAGTTTGTTTTTGGGTCATTCATTTCTTTTCTTTTTTTTTCTGTGTTGAACATATGATACAATCTTGTACGCAATATGCTGTCTTAACAGGCGGCTAACTATATTCCTCGCCTTATCAGTGCAATAATCTACTTAGCACTTGCTAGTTGGCATGTAACATTTCACTCATTTTACCCAGGGGTAGTGTCATTAACCCACGCTATATCCTGCCATTTCTTTACCACATTATCTCCCGGTTGTCACCTATGTCAATGCTACTTTCAAGTTACGGCACCAGTAACATAACACACGGAGTATAACTGTGTAAAGTAAAGCAATTCTCATGTAGTGGTTCCTTCGTCCGCGGCCAGAGGCGGCGCATCTGGGTTCATCCACGGGTGGACAACCATCTGGGCAATAGTGTATCGCTTTTTCACATTCACCTGAAAGGTACATTCAAGAGACAGTCAGAAGCATACACAAAAAGTATGAAATCACGAAACTATCAATAGCATGTAATCTAGAGAAGGAGTTCAGAGACGTATGCTTGTATTGGCATCTTTTGCAATGTTAGCGGTGGGGCAATATCTTTCGACCTGGAATTTAGGGCCGCATGGCTGGTGCTGTCACCAGGGACTGACTGTGCAAGTGACGACTGTATTTTTTTCTAATACCTAGGCATGACAGAAAGACATCTTAGGCACTACATGTGAAAGCTATTTATAAATTTTTCTAGACAGGCCGAGCAACGGATTTCGTCACCCGGTGTGCCAGAGATAACAAGCTTGTGTGTAGCATTAGACTGGCAATGATGTCGAACTGCTAGTTTTTAAGTGTTTTTGATTTTTACTTATCCGAAAAAGACTGTTCTAAAGTGTAAAGTGTTATTTACTATGCCTTCGACATGTTCTGCACCTGAGTTGCGCTCGAATTATGACCCTTTCAGTGGATAGAATGTGAGTGTGTTTAAGTTTTATTTTGAGACAAAGATGGCTCAAATTAGTAAAATTGGTTGCACAAAAAATTGGCTGGCTAAGCTCACTCACTAATTATCAGCATATTAAATTATTGTATACTATAGGTGGCAGAGTGGTTACTTTCATACATCCATATTTGTGGATATTCGGGCACTTAAATTATGTTTGGATATTCGGTTATCTTCCAAATAACGGTCCCAAATTATTGAGGCCGAAAATATACGCTGACAGGGTACTTAGGTACTGTACCATCCTTTAATGTCCACGCGGGGCGTGGATTTGGGCTAAACTAGATGGCTGGGACACAAATAAAATTAAGGAAGCTGCAGGAGATGCGGTAGCTGCTGCTCGTGAGTCCCAGCCATCTAGTTCAGTCCCAATCCACACCGCGCGTAGCCGCGAGGGAGATACTCTCGGCGGTGGCGGTAGTCGCCGAAAGTGCGCAATTTAAGTCGCCGGAAGTACGCAATTGACATGTGACTGAGGCCCTGTAAGGGTATATTTTCGGCCTCGATAATTTGGGACCGTTATTCAGAAGATAGCCGGATATTCCAATATTTCGTGTGGATTATTTGAAAATTTTCCAGCTAAAATGTAAGTAGTTTCTGTTGCAGTTTATATTTCTCTGTTGTTCAAACTAAGGTCCTTGTTGTTACTTTTTGTCCACAATTTCTATGTAGGGCGACCACAATATGTTGGACTGAAAACGGGACACATACTGTTAATTTGAACTGAAAATGGGTGGACAAGAAGAATACTGCTAATAGACTGGGTGGACAAAAGGAATATTGCAAGTCAGTTACCCCCCCCCCCCTTTTTTTTTTTACTATCATCCCACCCAACTTTACCCCTCTTAAAAAAATTCAGGAATGTATTGTTATTACTTTTCATTAAGGAACTAACACATTTTTTTAAAAGATTCGATTTTTTAGATTACATAAGCCTATCATCTGTATAAGCTCTACTAATTAATTAATATTGAAATGTTTTTCTCTAGTGGACCCTTTTAGTTTTCATCTGTGTGTGTACCTATATACGCGTTATATTGTGGAGCTTTTTCCTAGAATTTTTTTTTATGGTGACTACTCAGGAAACACAACGGAAAAAAAAAAAAACTGGGAAAAAAAAACGGGACTTTTAGAGGGAAAACAGAACGTATTAGCTTGGGGTGGTAACGTCACGCCAGCTGATTACGTCAACACCACTACCTGTCTAAAGTAGATCATCGTCTAGCAGTCCTTTACGACTAACCAGGTCAGATGCCACTGTAGGATCTATAAAAGCAAAGTGCAGTGATTGATTTAGTTCACGACATTTTCCTAGCAAACTTGCCCTGGGTTTGAATCCGAACATTGAAATCACTAAGTATGCAGATACTGTCATATTTACAACTGCGTTTACGGCATTTTCAATTTCTTCCTGAACAAAAAAAAATTTGTTTTCTTTTTTAAAAGCATCTTTTGCATTCCCAGTTGACATTGATGTAAGTCCATATGCAGTAACAGGAGTAATAAAACTACTTGAAGTAGACAATCGTAGGAATAATATTCAGTCATTTCCCCCAAGGATTCTTAGCCGACACTACAGTGCATTATTTACTGCTAATCCCACTCCATCCTTTAGGATTTTTTTCTAGCCCCTGACTTTCTAAAAAAAAAAAAAAAATATTTAATATCTCTTATGGACCCATCCTCTGGGAGGTGTGTTTCATGTTTATTAACTTCGGCATCAAGATCGGCACATGGTCCTCAAATTCCATCTTCCAAGCCGAAGTTTGAAGTTATGTTTTTTTTTTTCCTAGCTGCTTTGTGCAAAGGTTTTTACAGCCTGCGATTTGGGTTTGGTTCTAGCTTCAAGACCCTATTGCAAGACGCAGGCTGTGGTGGATCAACACCTTACTGGTCGCGGGCTGCCAACTTTAGGCATGTGGTAGCCGATTAGTGACATTCGATAATATCTCCTACGGTCAGAGGTAATTCTTGGCTCCCTACTCTACGCCAACTGACAAGGACTCATAACACGTAAATGCTGTCTCTCAAAATTTTTCCGCGACCAGTTAAGGGCAAGGCTGAATTTCCTTCTCTCCAAAGCAAAAAGCCTGGGCTGTATTGTGCAAACCATATATCCAGCCAATTAGTATGAGTTTTGATCGACTTTTGAACTAAGGCTTGACATAGAGTAGGACATTCGGCAAGTGAGTTTCATTCATGTTTCATATGAGTTTTTATGTTTTTGAGTTGTTGTTGTTGGTCAAATGGCTCTTTTTTAGTCAACGAATCTAATGTAAAGTTGTGAATTAAATCAAATACTTTGCTCGAATACTGTTCGTAATGTAACTCTATGGTCAGTACAAAATATGTTTAGTCAAAAAACTTGCCTTTTGGTACCCAAGACAAATTATGTTTTTTTTTTTAAACAGGATGTCTTGGTTTGACAATTGCAGATCAAGCAATCAATCAATCAGGTGCCGTCTCCACAATGAAGGTTGGCTGCAATGGATCCCCAACAAGCCCTGACTCTTGCCCTTGATGTACACTCACTCATACTGCTGTTCGTCCATCTCTTGATGTTATCCTCCCACTTGTAACGCTGTCTGCCTTTTGCTCGCCTACCTTGAACCTTTCCCTCTAGGATGATATTTTCAATACTGCAGATATTGGAGCCTAATTGGAAACCATAACACAACGTGCCGACTACAATTCCAAAGGCGAAAGCAAAAGGAAAGAAGGAAAACACTATCAAAACTTAGGATCGATTGATTGACTGACGTCCAACCCCACCAGGACATCACACGGAGAAATACCGGTGGCACAAAGTGTCACAATGCGGATGAGGATCACCCGGGAAGAGGTCCCAGAAACCTTGTTCAACTGTCAGGCTATATTTCGGCCCCCGGCAAAAGCCACGTGGGACTTCAAAATTACTATAAATTGCATCTTTAATGGCGACGACGGTTATTATATCTCTAGGCAGAATCAAGAATGTATAAAGTATGTATAATAAAAACACCGAATCAGAATTAAAGCAAACATTTTCAACTTAAACATAAAATTACCAGATTGTAAAATGTACAACTGGAATAGAATTAGGGGCTATTAACAGCACACAACAAAAGGACAGATTCAAGAGTCTATCAAGTAGTCACAACCCGAATACAGAATCAAGTAAATACAAAAAAGTATAGAACTCAAACACAGAATGAAGACGCTATAAAACTATTTAGAAAAGACAAAATGTTTGTCAAGGGTACATAACTGTGGAAATAAAATCAAGAGTGTCATTGTTCAAGTCATTGTCTCCCTCCAAAATTGCTTAGCGCAGGATAAGAGCAGGACCACAGCCTAGAAAGCCTGTTCAGTCTATAATACCATGATATTATGGCAACCCCTAGGGTTACGAATATACATGCAGTCCCCCGTGCGACTGTTTTGTTTTACAATAAGAATGTGTCACGTTTACTTAGAGTTCCGGTCCAAATAGAAGATAAGTACGGACACTATTTTTGGTTGTGGCAAAAGTAATGCTTCTGACAGATGGTAACCGCTGCATTTTCCTCCGTTTGTAGACTGAAAATATATAGTTTCGCCACCCATCTACTGAGTTAAGTGCATGGCGCCACGCTGTCAGCTGCAGATTGCATTTAGGATGATTTTCGACGGTGACAAACCTGGTGTTGTGAATTGTAGATTCTGCAAATGGTGCATGGCCTGTTGCAACAGTATTGGGGGCCCCCTTACATGAGTAATATTGTTCGCGTGTGCAGCTGCCGATTTGTTTGTAACTACTGCTTTCGTCGATGGCTGCCCTATGCTTTTATTGCGTGTGTATGCTAGTGCACTGAGACAGTAGCGGAGCAGTTACTCTAGTTAACAATCAGAATGTACCAGAAATGAAATTAGCTGATCTTAACTAATTTCGGTGCGATGAAAACGAAAATGACATTAACGAGTATTGATTGGCTCTAGTTTTCAAGACATAAGCTATAAATTTACTTAATTATTGTCAAATTACATTTATTACACACCGGTTGTAGACGGTGGCATCATTCTTTTTCTATGGCCAATAAAACTGTAACTAATAGTTGATGTTGCAGTCCTGCCTATGATTACATCATCCTTATGTATAAATATCTTATCTCTGACAAAAGTTTCCCATTATTAGCGAGTGTCTTTGTTCTTATTATTACTGTCATAGTTAGAAATGTCTAGGGCGTGTGTGAACAGCGCTGATAACTTCTAGTATGTATATGGTGAAGTGACATTTCTCTCACAAAAACGAAACATTACTAAGGTGATTAAACAGCATACAGTGTGTTTTTTTTTTTGCCTGCAGAAAAGGAGATCAATATTCACCAATTCGAAAAAAAAACTTCTTTACGATGAGAAGCTTCTTGTGTGTCGCATGGCAAGAAAAAAGCATCATGGCTAGCATTTAAGGCAGAGGTGAACAATTTTCTTGGAAACAACAGATCTGATAATTATAATGAAATTGTAAAAAATCTCCTTCTAAAATATACTGGTCTTGGCTGGAACATGTCTTTGAACATTTATTTCCTTTATTCCCATCTGGATTTCCTTACGTCAAACTGTGGAGCTATCAGTGGTGAGCACGGTGAACGATCAGGACATTGCTGCTATCGAGACAAGGTATGAAGGCAACCAGAGCCCTTTAATGCTTGCTGATTACTGCTGGACTGTGACAAGCTTATGGATTGACTACAGGAAGCAAGCAAAGAGAGCTCTAACAGCGCCTGAATAATGACGGAAAAGTTTCAAATGTTTCTTTTTAAAACAGTATATGTAAACTTTAAATATTGTTTATTTATTGTTTCTATCATTTTATGTTGAAATATAAAATAACTTAGCATGCAACAACAATATTTAGAAGGCTAAATTAGAGAGACTAACTGTTCATTCCAGGGATTTAAAATAAAAACTGACATTGTTTGTATTACAGTAATGTAAATTCGTCATTTAAAATTCTGGTACAAAAACAAAAAAAAACTTCAAACTTTGCTACCAGTTATGGGGTGAACCGTTGCTGTGACGCTGAAACTAATAATACCAAGGTTACCGAGATCACGATTACAAAAGTCGGGGACCGAATCATTAATTTGTTAATACAAGTATCTCAAAAATGGATACAGAATGAAATACATGTGCTTCCGTTCGAAAAACTTTATATAAAAATATGATTCCTTGAACAAACACAGCAAGCTGTTGAATGATATAATTGTTTAAACACATGCTCAAGCTCAATAAAATAGGTCAATTACTTCCTTTATTATACAACTTCTGTGGTGTACGCAGAAAAAAAGGGGGATGGGGGGTGGAGGGGGTATCTTTGAACCTGAGGATATATGGCCGCATAGTTAGTGAGGATTTTATTTTTGCCCTCCGACAGAAACAAGAGATCAATTGACACTAGGTGGGTGATTCGATTAAAATCACGCCCGCCGTCTTAACTTCCCAGGGCATCACCTGGTATTCAGTAAAATCCTGGGTCGACCCACTAGCCAAGGTCATTGATTTAAAAAAAATTCGGCTCCGCTAAGATTCGAACCCAAGACATTCGGATCCGCAGACGAGCGTAAAGTCGCTACACCACGGCGGTTCACAATAAAAGCGGAGGAAATCCCAGTCACCAGCTTTGTGCTATCAGTACCAAACATGGACAGACTTAACAGATTTGAACAGATTTAAACAGAAATGGACAGACTTAGACAGACATGGATAGAAATGGACAAACATGGTCAGACATGGATATACATGGACAGAAAAGGACACACATGTAGAGACAGGGACAGACATGGACAGACGTGGGCAGACATTGACAGACATGGGCAGACATGGACAGACATGATAGACATGGACAGACATGAACAGAAAAGCACAGACATAGACAGAAAAGGACAGACATGGACAGACATGCATATACAATGACAGACATAGACAGAAATGGACAGACATGGATAGACATGGAAAGACATGGACAGAAAAGGACAGACATGGACAGACATGGACATAAATGGATATACATGGACAGACATAGACAGAAATTGACAGACATGGAGAGACATGGACAGACACTGGCATAAATGGATATACATGGACAGACATGGAAAGACATGGAAAGACATGGACAGAAAAGGACAGACATGGACAGATATGCATAAACATGGACAGACAGGGACAGAAATGGGCAGACATAAAGAGACATAGACAGACACGGACATACATGGATATACATGGATATACATGCATATACATGGACAGACATGGACAGACATGGATATACATAGATAGATACGGACAGACATGGACAGACATACATACACACGGACAGACAAAGACAGAAATGGACAGACATGGATATATATGGACAGACATGGACAGACATGGACAGACATGGATATACATAGACAGAAATGGACAGCCATGGACAGAAATGGGCCGACATGGACATACATGGTCAGACATGAACAGACATGGACAGAAATAGACAGACATGGATAAAAGAGGACAGGCATGGACATACAAGAATGTATATGGATAGACATGGGTAAACATGGGCAGGCATGGACAGACATGGGCAGGATGGACAGACATGGATATACATGAACAGGCATGGACAGACATGGACAGAAATGGACAGACACGGACAGACATGGACAGACATGGATATACCTGGACCGACATAGACAGACATGGACAGACATGGATAGACATGGGCAGGCATGGACAGACATGGCCAGGCATGGACAGACATGGATATACATGAACAGGCATGGACAGACATGGACAAGAAAACACAGGCATGACCAGACGTGGACAGAAAACACAGGCATGGCCAGACATTGACAGATATGGACAGACATGAACATATATGGACATATATGGACAGACATGGATATACATAGACATACATAGACAGAAATAGCAGGCATGGACAGACATGGATATACATGGACAGAAATGGACAGACATGGATATACATGGACAGACATGGGCAGACATTGACAGAAATGGACAGACATGGACAGGCATTGACAGAAATGGACAGACATGGTCAAACATGGACAGACTTGGACAGACATGGATAGACATGGATATACATGGACAGACATGGACAGAAATGGACAGACATCGATGGACATGGACAGACATGGACAGACGTGGACACATGGACAGACATGGACATGCATGGACAGGCATGGACAGACATGGACAGGCATGAAAGTTCTAGAAAAACATAAACTCAAAATTGCATGTGAGATTAGATGTATGGGAGAAATTACAAGACTACAAGGCAAGAGACCGACAAAGAAAGAGATGTATATGGAGAGTGACAGAGACGTTACAGAAACGAAATTGGACATTAACACAAGCTGTGCAAATAACTATCAAAGAAAGGAAACTTTATCTAACTCCTCTCTATGAAACTGCACGGCTTAAGCAGTAGGATAACAGAAGGAAAAAAAAATCAAGGGTACACAATCGAAAGCAAGATCTAGAGTGTGAATGATTGACGTTCAACACCACCAGAACATCACACCCAGTGATAAACACCCGATGACACAAAGTACGACTATTCGGACAAGGATCACCAGGGCACCAGAAAACCCGTTCAGGCTGTAGGGGTTATATTAGGGCCCCCGACCGCAGCCAGGGTTGGGCTTTATAACAACAGATAATTGCGTTCCGTATTGGGACGCTTTTCCTGATCTAGAATTTGTCAAGTGTACATTAAAAGACAAAATCAAGAAGGCGTCAAATGTACACAATTCAAAAACAGAATGATGTCTACCACTGGTAGGCAACTAAAACATACAACACCGGGTCACTGTAAGCGCAGGGCGCCCAGTATAACTGTTTAAGAATGTTAAACAGAACCCAGTAAATGGGAATTCTTGTGTGTGGCATGAAAAACGCAGACCTGTAAATATTCTCTCAAGGATTTATAAATCAAATACAGTATCAAAACAAAAGTCATTCCCTCATGGAGAATAGGATCTCAACCAAGAACAGCCACGTTATCATATCTATTGATGTTGCATTTAGCTCACCCACATGTTCCCATCTTTTTAAAGTGTCTGTCAAGCCTCCTTCTATATGCGTGTTTCAGTATCTGCCTTGATTTACTAGATCCCCAAAGGCTTTTGCGAAGACACTCGAGTTGGATCGTGACTGTGTGTGTTGCGTGTTTTTAAGTGTTGTGTCTATTAGTGTGTGTATCTGTGTGTGAGGGTTTGTGTCGTAAATCTAATATACCCTGCTTGATTTCAGTTACTGGCAATTTGACACCAGGCCTCTAAGTGCGTATTACGACAATAGCATGCAGGGCCGACCTCTAAACATAAAAAAAATGTAGTAAAATCAAACATTCACCATCACTAACAAAAACAACAAGAAAAACAACAAGCTACTTATGTGGACAGTACTGCAACTTTCTGTAATGGATAGGCAGCTGCTTGATTTGTTCTGCATGCTGAGACCAAATATCACAAACTCATAATTTGCTGCCTAAACATGGACACAGGTGCATCGTACACGATGTTATTCTGGACATACATATTAAAGTCTTACTTCCAGTATGCGAGTAATAAGGTCTTTCACTTCGTTAGAGATGGGCTTGGATTTTGAGAAGGTAACCTTCTTCTCCAGCTGATCTCGGATCATTTTCTTCACGTTAGAGTCATCATAAGGCATGGACGCACACACCTGGGCAGGGAATATCATCGCATGGGAAGTCACTTCAGTGATAGTCAAAGACATTTTTAAAGTCTAAAAACACTCCTAAAAATATCTTGTCTTCGTTGATATTCTGATGCCAGTTGAATGCCATGTATGCTATGGTGTGATAAAGCATTCTCTCTAAGCTAGCAAGCCATTTAGTTTGCTGCTTGTGCGTAATTTGGATTTCGTCTGTGCTGACTAATCTTCCTGACGTTACTTGGTTCCTACATTACTTCTCTGTCGTATGCGTGGCCATGTCTGGCACTGATAGCATAGAATAAGAGTGAATACGCTTTTTATTAGATGTTTGTGCTGAGTGGATTTGTTTTATACTGTAAGGAGGTGGGACACTGTACTAATACTACTCGGTTTACTTTGCTGCATCTGATGTTAACTTCTTTACCCAGACTCTTTTGCAGACAATTTTTACAATATTTAAAGTCTGACTGATGTCTTCTTCTTTTTCTCCCCTTCCAGCCTGCACCTCAGTGAAGTGTCGGGAGATTAAAGGGGGGGGGGGAGTTATATAACATTCGTTGATGAGCTCTGTCAAGAGTACTATTGAGATTAATGTTCATTTATGTAAGATTGTTCTTTATGGCATCACTTCATTCTTTTCCGAGGTCTTCCCCTCTTTGTATACTGGTTGTAACGTTTTACTGTAGCTCGCTGTAGTAAATAATACCATGGCATTCTTGTTAGGTGTCCAAACCACTTTACTTGTTGTTCTGTGATGACTTGTAAGACTGGCTTTATTCCTAGCATTGGTCCTATTTCGTATTCTGTCTTTCCTTAAAACTTCCGCAGCTCTTTTAAGGCATTTTATCTCCGTTGTCACATTTTTGCGTTCATTGTGATGTAAGTGTCCACTTCGCTGCCATTGCTACAGGGTAATTTGCTGCCATTGCTTTCGGGTGGTCATTTAGGTCAGACTTCTATCAAACGTGATACTTATGCACCTCAGTTTGCTTTCTCGTTGATGTTTCCATCACTAATTCTAAGGCACTAATAAATCATATTGTCCAGAAAGCAACATGAAACACCACCTGTCCTGGGTTGATGACAACACTTATCCAGTTTTCTGCCCTGTATCACTCAATTTTTCAAATTTTGAATTAGGAATCGACATCATAGCACTCGGGACACTCCCATAAGAAGTCCATCCCCATCTTCAGTAGCCAGCAAAAAGTTCCGTTTCCGATGGCACCAGTGACTGTCTGACTGTACATCCGTCTCGCCTTTCCCCTGAATGTTGAGCGTCGGCCAGATCCCATGGTAACTCCCCGTAGCGTCACTCCTCAGTAATGATCTATACGTGCCGCAAGATTATTCACTCGCTTCCACAAGGCAACATCAAGCTTGTCATTCATCAGTTCACCCCCCAAGTGGTGCAGAGTCGGTCAGTTTATCTGCCTGCTTATTTCTTAACACACCGGCATAACCTGGAGAAAATGTCCAAAGGATGCTAACTACCCAGGACCTTTGAAGTGATTCTTGCGACTCTAAAAGAAGCATGCCTGTCACTACGTTTCTCAATATGCTCTGTGAGTCGGTTACAATTACGGCATGTGTGAACAAACATTATCCCTCATCGGAGCTTATCCGTTCCACCAGCTTATGCCTGGTTGTATCTAATCTCTGCTGTTGCGTGAATCTCACACTTTTCTTTTGCTTTTCTTTAATAATATTATATTATATTATATTATATTATATTATATTATATTATATTATATTATATTATATTATATTATATATTATAATATAATGTAATATAATATAATATAATATAATATAATATAATATAATATAATATAATATAATATAATATAATATAATATAATATAATATAATATAATATAATATAATATAATATAATATAATATAATATAATATAAAATAATATAATATAATATAATATAATATAATATAATATAATAAAATATAATATAATATAATAAAATATAATATAATATAATATAATATAATATAATATAATATAATACAAAACAATACAATACAAATAATATGATATAATTTAATAGCATATATAATAGCATATAATATAAGTATAATAACTTTAGCATTATATAACACAACAGGTACCACTTTGACTCAGCGACAAGACGCTGGCGTGTAGATCGGAGAGTCGTGGGTTCAAATCGTGGAACTGGGCTTTTTTTTCAAATATGACCTTGGCTCCCAGATTGACCCAGCATTAAATGGGACCAGGGAAAGACCTAGGAAGTGAAGGCGGCTGATGTGATGTTGACCATATCAACAACCGAATGCCGATTGGTCTATACAATTTAGGTCTATCACTATATGCTTTCTACGCGCAAAAAGCGTGGAATAGGATCCTTTACATTGCTATATTCTGACACTTCATAGCACCGAATAGTATGGTACAGCGTAGTATAGAAAATGAGAGTATAGTATATTATAGCTTGACATTGCCTAGAGCTGTATAGTAGTCGAAGATGTTCAGTATAGCATAGAGTAGCGTATGGCACAATACAGAAAATCATTACACAGTTTAAAAAAAACGGCATAGTGCGTCTACTTCATATCATGTTTAATGTAACTATACAATGCATACTATCACACGGTAGTGTTGCCGGAAATGACCGAGCTGATAAACTAGCTAAGGAAAGTGCAAATGAACAACAGCCTGACGTACAAGTCTCCTACCAACAGAAGCAGAGAATAATCAAATCAAATGGCTTCCAAAACTGGCACAAGGCGATTACAACGGACAGACCGGAGCAAGTCATTATTCTACGCCCTACAACAGGACACATTTGAATTCGCAACCACATGCACACAACATTTAATAGTGGCGATTTAGAGGATTGGCACTTGAGAGAACAAATGGCGTCCTTTTAGACCGACAAAAATACAACATATCAATGCAAAACTTCTGGCCAAGAGAATCACGGGTTGATGCCAAACTTTTAGGGTCGCAGAATTATTTACAAAAAAAAAAAAAAAACAGTGTAGTTCATAGTAGAAACAACATTGCAGATATACATAATTTGTTTAGGAAGAAGGAAAGAAGAAAAAATAAACTGTATAGAATATTGTAGCATGACACCACAACGCAACGATACCATGATGTAAAGTATGACGCCCATGGCCCAAATGTCGTGTAATGGTATGTAGTAGGGAATCCCTTGCAGGATTTCCGGTGCCGCGTAGGCGGCGCTACCGCAGAATGTCTTGCTGATGCCTGGATCCTCAAAATAACGAGAGAATCCAAAGTCCGACACTTTCAAGTTATTCTGGTAGTCTAGTAACAAATTTTCGCACTTCAAATCTCTGAAAGAATTTAAGAAAGTGTGGGTAGAGATCACAGCACACAGTGGAATATACAGGTAGGTCGAGATCACAGCAAACAGTGGAATATACAGTTGGGTAGAGATCATAGCAAACAGTGGAATATACAGGTGGGTAGAGATCATAGCAGACAGTGGAATATACAGGTGGGTAGAGATCATAGCAAACAGTGAAATATACAGGTGGGTAGAGATCATAGCAAACAGTGGAATATACAGGTGGGTAGAGATCATAGCAAACAGTGGAATAGACAGGTGGGTAGAAATAATAGCAAACAGTGGAATATACAGGTGGGTAGAGATCATAGCAAACTGTGGAATATACAGGTGGGTAGAGATCATAGCAAACAGTAGAATATACAGGTGGGTAGAGATCATAGCAAACAGTGGAATATACAGGTGGGTACAGATCACAGCAAACAGTGGAATATACAGGTGGGTAGAGATCATAGCAAACAGTGAAATATACAGGTGGGTACATATCATAGCAATCAGTGGAATATACAGGTGGATACAGATCACAGCAAACAGTGGAATATACAGGTGGGTAGAGATCATAGCAATCAGTGGAAGATACAGGTGGGTAGAGATAATAGCAAACAGTGAAATATACAGGTGGGTAGAGATCAAAGCAAACAGTGGAATATACAGGTGGGTAGAGATCATAGCAAACAGTGGAATATACAGGTGGGTAGAGGTCGCAGCAAACAGTGAAATATACAGGTGGGTAGAGGTCACAGCAAACAGTGGAATATTCAGATGGGTAGAGATCATAGCAAACAGTGGAATATACAGGTGGGTAGAGGTCACAGCAAACAGTGGAATATACAGGTGGGTAGAGATCACAGCAAACAGTGGAATATACAGGTGGGTAGAGATCACAGCAAACAGTGGAATATACAGGTGGGTAGAGATCACAGCAAACAGTGGAATATACAGGTGGGTAGAGATCATAGCAATCAGTGGAAGATACAGGTGTGTAAAGATCATAGCAAACAGTGGAATATACAGGTGGGTAGAGATCATAGCAAACAGTGGAATATACAGGTGGGTAGAGGTCACAGCAAACAGTGGAATATACAGGTGGGTAGAGATCACAGCAAACAGTGGAATATACAGGTGGGTAGAGATCATAGCAAACAGTGGAATATACAGGTGGGTAGAGATAACAGCAAACAGTGGAATATACAGGTGGGTAGAGATCACAGCAAACAGTGGAATATACAGGTGGGTAGAGATCACAGCAAACAGTGGAATATACAGGTGGGTAGAGATCATAGCAAACAGTGGAATATTAAGGTGGATAGAAATTACAACAAACAGTGGAATATACAGGTGTGTAAAGATCACAGCAAACAGTGGAATATACAGGTGGGTAGAGATCATAGCAAACAGTGGGATATACAGGTGGGTAGAGATCACAGCAAACAGTGGAATATACAGGTGGGTAGAGATCACAGCAAACAGTGGAATATACAGGTGGGTAAAGATCATAGCATATAATGGAATATGCAGTTAGTTGCGTATCCGCTGCATGACGTTGCAGAACACACCCTTGCATTTGTTGTTGTTGGCTGTTGTGGTTTTACTAGGCAAATGTAATGTTCAGTGGCTCGCCATTGCACTAAACGGTCAGCTCTCGGTACCACTGTTATGATCAATGCAAGACAAATCGTCCGCAGCTGTTATCGAACTCGGCATCTCGGCATTACGAAGCGCGTCCGCAACGTCTAAGCCACAGACGCCGACTACATAAGCAGCAACGAAACAAGCAGAAGCTAAAGTAAAATTGTCGGTGTCTGTGGCTTAGACGTTGCTGCTTGTGTAATCGGTGTCTGTGGCTTAGGCGTTGCTGCTTGTGTAGTCGGTGTCTGTGGCTTAGGCGTTGCTGCTTGTGTAGTCGGTGTCTGTGGCTTAGGCGTTGCTGCTTGTGTAGTCGGTGTCTGTGGCTTAGACGTTGCTGCTTGTGTAATCGGTGTCTGTGGCTTAGACGTTGCTGCTTGTGTAGTCGGTGTCTGTGGCTTAGGCGTTACTGCTTGTGTAGTCGGTGTCTGTGGCTTAGGCGTTGCTGCTTGTGTAGTCGGTGTCTGTGGCTTAGGCGTTGCTGCTTGTGTAGTCGGTGTCTGTGGCTTAGGCGTTGCTGCTTGTGTAGTCGGTGTCTGTGGCTTAGACGTTGCGAACGATCTTCATACGATCTTCCTAATGCCAGGTTAGATCCCGGCTGCAGGTCATTTGATAGCAGACCGTTTTAGGTTGGATTTAACACTTTTACAGAGAGCTGACTGTTCTTAAGAAGGGTATGTGCAGGGTAGAAATAATCACACAGACTGGTTTTACTTCCCATGACATTACCTGGTATCTATTCTAGACATGTTTGATATGTCAGGCGGGATGCAAACTCAAGACGTTTGGGTCGAACATTCGAGTAACTTTGGACCATTTACGTTATAGACACTTCAGAAACTGAATAAAAACCTATTCTGAAGATGTTGTAACCACAGTAATGCAGGTACCCCGGGATGACGACAGACTGGCTGACTGACTTTCTACCCCACCAGGACATCACAAAAGCGATTAACACCCGATAACACAAAGTGCCACCATGTGGATGAGGATCGTCGTGGAGAGGTCCCAGAAACCGCGTTCAGACAATTGGCCATATTTATGGCCTACCTATATTGCGGTCCCTGGCAAAAGCCAGGGTGGGGCTTCAAGTGACAAAAAAATTTCGTCCTAAAAACGACGGAACACCTAGTGAAGCACGATAGGGATGACGACATGTTGCCCCTGTCTTTTATAACTACGTGAGGTGCTCTGAATAGTTACCACTGGAATTTAGCCACCTACTATGAACTACGAATTGGGCAACGTTAAAGTGTATATATGTACTTTGGTAGACTCTTCATTATAATGTACATAATAATTGTGGCTCTCCCTGCCAAATACAATTGTTGCTGTACAAAAATAATAGTTTGTGAGGGTGGGGAAGGGGAGATAATAAGCGGTCATTACTTTGTGATTTCATTTTGGCAAACGATACCTTCCATTGCATTTGTGTTCCGCTGAGCTCATGTGGATCACACATGGGAAGCCCTAGCATCGGTTACGAGCTCCGATGCAACTGCCAATACCCAGTGTTATGCATTCGGAAATCACACATGCTATAATTAGAATGTTTTGACAGGCTGGATCTATACTTATTAGTTAATTTATCCACGATTAGCTAAATATAGTCAAAACCATTGCTTCTGCTTCTTCTGCTGTTACGATACTACTTCCCGTCCTTTTTAGGATGACATTTTTCGTTATTTGAGGCTCTACTCTGGCTTTTGCCAGGGGCTGCAATATAGCCTGACCATAAATATGGCCTAAAGGCTGAACGAGGTTTCTGGGACCTCTCCACGGTGATCCTCACCCACATGGTGGCACGTTGTGTCATCAGATGTTTATCGCTTGTTTGATGTCCTGGTGGGGTAGAAAGTCAGTCAGTTCTTTTGCTGCTGCTTTTTTTTAAATCTCCAAATCGTGTATAGGTGGTCAACTAACTTACGCAAACTCGTTCTATCCATTGCTATTGCATGCAGCTAAACCCCATGCCCTCTCATTTTGATTTCTATTTCTCCCTAAAATTCACTTTCACTCTCTTCTCCGTGTGTTTTTGATCTGCCTTTATTTATATGCGTTTGTGGGTTCCGGTGCAAAGACATTTTAGTTATATTGTGTGGAAACAAGCTGATCAATACGGTCTGGAGAGAGTGCTGCAGTGGGAGTGATTAGAGCATCTGGCGGACACTCAACACTACAGTAAAGGTGTGGGAGACATTTACAATAAAACTGCTCGTAGAACCATCCGAATTAAAACTCTGTTCCGGTAGCTGAAGGTGGAGACGGAGCACGTATGCGAATGCCCAGAGTACTGTGATGTGAGTTCTTAATTCAGCTCTTTTTCTTGTTCCTATGCCTTCCCCCCTAACTCTGGTACGGGTCGGGGCGGTAGAAAAGGGGGGGGGGGGGGGGTAAACACGTTGTGTTCTGGCTTACTGCAAAGCGCGATATCTGCACTTTTCTCACGGACATATCCGATATCAGCCAATAGTAATTAGTCGAGCTTTTTCGATACGCTTGGTAAGGAGGAGAACCCAGGTCAATATTAGACTGGACAGCTGGTAAATAGATCGATCTCTTACTGTAGATGTCTAAAAGAAGAAGGATTTGTAATGTACCTAAATGTTCTTAAAGAAAAATAGAGGTAATATAAACTACTCCATGATCAGGCGGAATTTCCCCATTGTATCTTATTTTCAACAACAACAACAACAACAACAAAATCCATTATGTTCACATGGAGGAGAAACAAGCAGATCTCAACTTATTAAAATCAGAACTGGCTCTTTCTAGTAATTTTATTGCCTTTGGTTGTAAACGTAGGAAATAAAAGTTAGATACAGATAAGGGAAGTCCTATGGCAGTTTCTGACTCTGTGATGTAAAGACTGGTGATGTAACGCGGTGGTCAGTTATTTTCGAATTGCTATTCCATCCTAGACAAGTCATAAAATTGGTTAAAAAAGCGCTTACTTTTCAAATGTGAACTGGGTCGATCTCAAGGTTGTATACCATCATCATCATCAATCAGCAAGTCCTTTACAGAACATCGCTCTCTTCACGGCACGCCTGAAGGTATCCCTTTCCCTAGCCAGCTCTCCGGTCCCATGAGCTTTCGATGCCAAAGTATCTTCAATGCTCCATCTTCGCGGTGTCGACCCCTTCCTCACCTTTAACAAGCTGCACCCTCCATCACCGTCTTTTCCAAGCCACCATGACGCTTGATGGGGCCAAAATACTTCAACTTTCCGGACAGGATGCTGTTTATGAGCCAGTTCTCCCACATGTTCAACTCGTTCAGAGTGTCGATGTTCTTTCCTCTTCTTGATTCACATTCTAAGAATGTTTCTATATTGTATACCACATTGATAGGATATTATGATAGCTTACCTGTGTGCTATGTTAATTCCGTGCAGATAGGACACGGCATCCGTTAGTTGTCGGTACATGACTCGGCTCCTGTCTTCAGGGATGGCTCCACGCAGTTTGATGTACTCAAGTAGGTCGCCGTGTCCTGCGTGTTCCATCACAATGTACACCTGGACAGATAGTTAACAATTACAAACATAATTTTTCATCATCATCGTCGCCATCACCATCGTCTTCAACGTCAACGTCATCATCATCTTCATTAGCATCTTTATCATTATCGTCCTTATCTTCTTCTTCTTCTTCTTCTTCTTCTTCTTCTTCTTCTTCTTCTTCTTCTTCTTCTTCTACTTCTTCTTCTTCTTCTTCTTCTTCTTCTTCTTTTTCTTCTTTTTCTTCTTCTTTCTTCTTTTTTTCTTCTTTCTTCTTCTTCTTCTTCTTCTTCTTCTTCTTCTTCTTCTTCTTCTTCTTCTTCTTCTTCTTCTTCTTCTTCTTCTTCTTCTTCTTCTTCTTCTTCTTCTTCTTCTTCTTCTTCTTCTTCTTCTTCTAATTATTATAATTATTTTTTCTTTCCTCTAGTTATTTCATGGAAGTGTGGGCGAATAGGTGGATGGTTTAGGCATGGAAATATAAGGACCTCCTATGTGCTGTGTTTAAAAAGTTGTGTAACATGATCTTCCAGTATTTCTATGAGGCGTTTTCTTGATGCTCTGTCTTTAAAGCTGATACCAGGACATTTCCGTTAGATTGTTAATCCATTTCACCTATTGCCCCCTTACAAAGGATCAAGGACAAAGGAAAATAACAATGAACAGGGATCACATTAATCTGCACTCCATTGCTAGATAACGTGCTGTATTTTTACGTGTATTAGACAGTATCTGTTCTATTTTCTTTTAATTTTAATTTGGGCGTTGTATACACGAAATTTGATTAAAAAGTGTGTGTTTCCTAATGACAGACTTAATTTTTTTTTAAGTGGTCGTCTTTTACATGGGGGCACCATATATAGGATTAGTTGCGTATCCTTTACAGGACGTTGCAGAACCAACCCCAACAGCCCATAGCTATTGTGTGGTTTTTCTAGGCATTTTACGTCTAGTAGTTTGCCATTGCTTTCTGGAAGGTCGGCTTTCTTGATACCATTGTCGAAACCAACGCAAGGCGAATGGCCCTCAGCTGGGCTCGAACCAGGCATCCCGGCATTACGAAGCGTTCGCATCGACTTTGTCACAGATCCGACGGCACCATATATACGAAACAAAAATTATAATATGTGCGTTACTGAATCGTGACCTGGCTAGGTGTTAATATGACTGTCCACAGATGTGAATCTCTAGTACTGGTCTGGCAAACCTCACTTGTGCATGAGCTGGGGAGGGGAAGATGTGCGGTGCTTTATTTTAATTCACCCCACACAAAGAAAAATCACAGAGTTACAGCGAAAGTCCAATTATCTAGTGTTTGTGCGGGATGGAACTAGGATAAGGATCTTTGTCAGCCCCGACCGCCTCAGAGACACAAACTAACCCTACCCTTTACTCTAACCCTCACTCTAAGCCCTAGCTTGACCTAACCTCTGACCCTAACCCCAGCTCATAACACCCCTAGAATGTAAGTGGCGTTAGACGCTATGTGGCTAGCACGTTCATTTACTGGTAAGGCGTTTATAAGTTAACATTCCTCTCAGGTCTACCTACACGAGGAAACGTCCTGAAAAGTAAAGGTCGTCGGTGTTATAAAAACATAATCACTCATGCGCATTATCATCAACCATCAGGTCTGAAAGTCTCTTTTTCTCTCTCTCCCATGTGCTTTCAATACGTATGCATCTTCGATGTCCTGCATCCATCTTCGCGGTGTTCGAACCCTGCCTCGCCTTCCACAAACTGCACTTTCCATCACCGCCTATTCCAAGTCACCATAACGCTTGATGTTGTCAAAATACTTCGATTTTCGGGATAGGATGCTGTTTATAAGCCAGTTTTCCTTGATGTTTAACTCGTTCAGAATGTCCATGTTTTTCTCTTTTTGATCCATGGTATTCAAAGAACTTTTCTATAACATTTCAATTCGAAAGCTCTAATCTTTCTCCTTATTCACTGAGTGAGAGTCCAAGACTCACAACCATAAGTTGCCACAGAAAAAATGCATGATCTCAAGATTTTTACTTTAACCACATTACTAGCGCTTTGCCATAGGTTCTTCATGCTATTTATTCTCTGCATTAGTAATGCAAGTCTTCTTCTAACTTCTTTTGAGCAGTCGCCACTGTAGTTCACTAAACAGCCCAAGTTTCCAAAATCTGTTACATTTTCTGTTGTACACTGTTGGAAAGGAGAACTGTGTTGTCTGCATATCTTTGGTCGCGTGTAAAGATTAATTATTAAATATGGGCTAACACAATTATACCCTTCATCTTTTGTTGTCTCAGTGATACCATGTTGTAGCACTGTGACGTGATTTTCTTGCACATTTCTGTTAGCTTGGGTAGTCCTTTAACTTTGCCGGTTTGATGTCTGCAAGAGTCTGTCATATTTGTATTCATTATTTCTTGTGTAGTAGCAATCAAATAAATCACTGCCGGATTGTTAGGCCCGTCTCTACGCAGGAAAAAACCTGACTTGGCTAGTGCCTGTCTTCTTTCAGGCCAGCCATTGCTGCTTTAGCCTGAAACCGTGTTGCTTCATTTTTCCGGCGTGCACGACGAGGAGATGGGGTTTAGCTGGGAGCTCTAGGGTTGTTGGCAGCTACTTAAATTTCATTTTTCTCCTCCCCAAGGAGAAGAAGTTAGCCAAACTTAACACTGCTTCCATTATACCCAGTTTGCCTAAAGGTAATTGGACGTTTACTTGTTGTTGTTGTTGTAACACAGAAGAGATCTGGTGGCGAGACCCCCAGGCCAGGAAGATCAGATAACACTGGGGAAGAGTGTGATACAGGGGTCAGTACTAGTAATCGTGATGACGGAGTTAATCCTGACTGTGTTACCAAGGAAATCCACTGTGTCAGACTAAGAAACAGAATATGTGGCAGATGATCTCCAGATGGGTGTATCAGACGCAGGACATCTTGCTCATGATAGGAAGGTTTTCCGGAGGGTTGTTATGGCAGCGAGGTTCCGCGAGGGACATGCTACTGAATGAATGAATGAATGAATGTTGTTGTTGTTGTTTTTGTTGTTGTTGTTTTTGTAAACCTACATGTACATTACCTGTCATTGATATTAAATAATGTGTATGTAAATTTTTTGAACAACTGATGCATCATATGACATACCTTTTGTTCAAACTCAATTATTTCAAATAGCTTTATGCAGTTGATGTGGTTAATAGCTTTCATACATTTCAGTTCTCTGGGTAGAAATTTCTCCTTGAAATCTTTTGGAGCGCTTCTTCTGTCGATTATTTTCATGGCAACCCGTTTCTGAAGCTTGTCACTGTAAGCACTCTTCACCTTTGCGTAGGAGCCTTCGCCAATAGTTGTCCCTATGCTGTAGCCAAGCTTCTTCAGGTAGACCTCGTCATCAGAAAAGGCAAACTCTTTGACTACCGCTCCCGTCATGTTCTGAGCTTCATGCACGGCGGTATTGAAAAGCCAAGTCATTAGTCATGATGGATGACTTGGTAATTTTGAGGAGAGGAAAGATACTCCTACTGGTTGTCTTGCCTACTTTCTTACATTTCCTTCCGGTGCTGTTTGATGCCTCAACAATATGCAACAAATCCAAGTTAAGCGGAAGTGCGTCACTGCTAACGTACGACGTCATCCGGGTTCATCCATGAAAGCCACAATCCACGGAACTGGAGTCGAATGTATTTTATATTGTGGCACCAGGACAGAAGGATGCATAATCCTGTTTGTCCCCTGCACAGACAGTCATTTCGCTGTTCCGCTTAGACCCCGACAGCATTTACCTGGAGTTTAAACCTTTTCTACATAAATGGTGCTGATAAATTCCCAGATTTATGTTGCCAGTAAAGAGACCGAAGCTTGATATGGATGACGACGGGGGGCGGCTCCGGCTGTTAGAAGAAGAGCTTCGGATCACACAAGCAGAGGTTGAACCTATAGAAGTTAAACGATCTAGCACGTCGAGAACAGAGTCGGTCACCTACCGACCAACCTACCGAGCGGTTCTAGCTAAAAACGGGTATCTTGTAAGGAAGACTTTGGGGAATGGCAGTTACTCCAAGGTAAAGTTAGCCATATCTCTCAATAAGACAAAATCATTTGTGGCCGTGAAAATTGTAGATAGAAATAAGGCTCCCAAAGATTTCCAAACAAAGTTTCTTCCACGCGAGTTAGATATTTGGCCCGGTTTGCGCCACCCAAATATAATCAAAGTCATGGATGCTTTTGATGATGGGCGTCGCGTGTACATGATTCTGGAATTCGCCGAGAACGGGGATGTCTTGCGGTACATTCAGAAAGTCGGGGCCCTCTCCGAGAACCTGGCCAAGGGGTGGACCTGGCAGCTGTGCGACGCCGTGCGTTATTTGCATGATTTGAACATAACGCATCGGGATTTGAAACTTGAGAACCTTCTTTTGGACAAGGCGTTTAACGTCAAGCTGTGCGACTTCGGCTTCGTCAAAGGGAACTGTACCCAGTCTATGAGCCAAACTTACTGTGGATCTAAATCCTACGCTGCCCCGGAAATTCTGAAAGGCGAACCTTATGATCCCAAGAAAGCCGACATGTGGGCAATAGGAGTGATACTCTATATTTTCGTTACAGGCAAAATGCCCTTTGATGAAAGCAGAGGAAACAGTGGGGTGCTGGAAGAACAAAGAAAGTTGGAGTTTCCCTGGCAGAAGTACAAAAGGGTAATTATCAAAGTTCACCAACATTTGTAATTAATTTAGCGTTCTTTTTGTGCTACTAATATGAGGATTTTTAGTTGCTTAAAGCCAAATACTAAAGGGCCCTTCTAAGGTATGTGGTCCATATCTAGCCGGTCATTTTTACTTCCCATTACAATACTCGGTGCTCATTGTAGGCTGGGTCGATCTGGGAGCCAGGTAATATCCAAAAAAAAAAAATTAAAAAAAAAAAAATTAGCTTTGATCTCACCGGCGACAGAGTCGCCATTTGGCGGGCTGGTAAACGATTTCGTTGTCGGTCGGGATGTGGGTCTGTCTCCATTGGTCCCATCAACTCTGCAAGAGTCCTTTTCAGGGCTACTTGGTGACAAGCAATAGTAAACCATTTTATATCTGCTCAAATAACCCGATTTCAGACTAATGGAACCTACCAACAAAATGTCTTTCTTAAATGTTCGTTGTATTCTAAACAAATCAGTGTGATTGTTCTCTTGTGTTTGTAAACTGTCGCTGTGTTTGTTATTCGATATAAGCTTGGCTAATGTACATTTCTGTAACCTGTGGTGCCATTTCACTGGCTTGAGATGAATTTTGTCCGTGTTCCATAGTTGTGGATTTGAAGCTGTACGATAGACATAGCCAATGAAGACACATTTTAGGGGTTGTCTAGTTAGTCATGCTCTCAGTACACTTGTTTCCATGGCGAGGCGCACACGCCACATGGAGGTCACAGGTTCGATTCCCAGGACAGTAATTATAGTTGTCGATTGTAATATTGTTGTTTGTGTGTCCTTCTATCTTTCTACTTCTTTCTACTTCTTTGTATGAGTGCCGATCAATACATTGTCTGTTTGTTACATATATAATATTCCACATGAAAACCGAACTAACTAAAGAGATCAGCACCGATGGGTCTGTGTAGGCACCGTCACTCCGTAGTGACAACTGTCTGTGTCGCTGGTTTGACAACAGCGTCTGCTATGAAACTTTGGTGGAGCGGCTGGTCAAACGTTTAGACGCTGGGCTCTCAAGCAGGCAAATCGGGTTGAAATTATCGATAAGGTGGAGGAAACAAATTCTTTTGTGGGGGGGGGGGGGGGGGGGGGGGGTAAAAGTAAACATCTGGGCCTGCACAGCCCGTGTCGACAGCGCTGGTCATGTGGCCATAAATTCTCAGGCTTAAAGACCCCCTTGCCTACACCGCAAAAGTGGTAAATATATTCAGTAATTGGCAGTTTTTTTTTTTTTTTTCAGTCTGTTATGACTGTAAAGTGTTCAGCTTGTACTGGCAGTAACTGTTTGGTTGAAGCTGTTAGGGCAGTGATTCCCAAACAGTGCGCCGCGGCGTCCCGGGGAGCCGCGACCTCTTCACAGGGGCGCCGCGAAATATTGTAAAAGCTTCATATTTATTTTAACTAAGACACGAACAGTCATACTTCTACTTAGGTGAACAATTTTAACTGCAAAAAGGCGCCGCGACCAAGAAAAATTTGGGAAAAACTGTGTTAGGGAGTGACCTTCCCAGAGGAGTACAGGCTGCTGCCCAGACAGCAGCACCTGTAAGGCTAAGAAAATGACAAATGCCTAGACAGCAGCACCTGTAAGGCTAAGAAAATGACAAATGCCTAGACAGCAGCACCTGAAAGGCTAAGAAAATGACAAATGCCCAGACAGCATTACCTGTAAGGCTAAGAAAATGACAAATGCCCAGACAGCAGCACCTGTAAGGCTAAGAATATGACAAATGCCCAGACAGCAGCACCTGTAAGGCTAAGAAAATGACAAATGCCCAGACAGCAGCACCTGTAAGGCTAAGAAAATGACAAATGCCCAGACAGCAGCACCTGCAAGGCTAAGAGAATGACAAAAGCCCAGACAGCATCACCTGTAAGGCTAAGAAAAGGACAAATGCCAGCAGCATCTATACAGACTATATAGCCAAACCTAAAACCGGCAAAGTGGAATGACACAGTGACCCTTCACGTTCCGTCAAAAGCTGAACTCACAAACTCCTGACCCATACAAAACACACCAAGAGGACAATGGAAATAAACAAAGAAAGAAAAAAAACACACTGCTAGTCAATATATAGTAGATTTTGAATCTTTATATTTGTTGTTGTGGCATTTTGTTCACATTTCACTTTCTTGCTACCACTTGCAGGTTACTTCAGAGGAGAGGTCGCTGGTTCTCAAGCTGTTCACACATGACTTCCAGACGAGGCCCGACATCCATGGTGTTCTGTGCAACCGATGGATGGAGTCTGCTAGTTCAGTTCAGGCCAAACTAGGTGAGACAGCGTTAAATCGTCTTCTCAACCGTATATCGTCTTCTTCTTCTTCTTTTTCTGCTTCTTCTTCTTTTTTTTTCTTCTTTTTCTTCTTATTCGTCTTGTTTTTCTTCTCCTCGTCCTCCTACATTTTCTTCTTTGTCCTCTTTCTTTCTTTCTTTCTTTCTTTCTTTCTTTCTTTCTTTCTTTCTTTCTTTCTTTCTTTCTTTCTTTCTTTCTTTCTTTCTTTCTTTCTTTCTTTCTTTCTTTCTTTCTTTCTTTCTTTCTTTCTTTCTTTCTTTCTTTCTTTCTTTCTTTCTTTCTTTCTTTCTTTCTTTCTTTCTTTCTGTCTGTCTGTCTGTCTTTCTTTCTTTCTTTCTTTCTTTCTTTCTTTCTTTCTTTCTTTCTTTCTTTCTTTCTTTCTTTCTTTCTTTCTTTCTTTTTCTTTCTTTTTCTTTCTTTCTTTCTCTTTCTTTCTTTCTTTCTTTCTTTCTTTCTTTCTTTCTTTCTTTCTTTCTGTCTTTCTTTCTGTCTTTCTTTCTTTCTTTCTTTCTGTCTTTCTTTCTTTTTCTTTCTTTCTTTCTTTCTTTCTTTCTTTCTTTCTTTCTTTCTTTCTTTCTTTCTTTCTTTCTTTCTTTCTTTCTTTCTTTCTTTCTTTCTTTCTTTCTTTCTTTCTTTCTTTCTTTCTTTCTTTCTTTCTTTCTTTCTTTCTTTTCTTTCTTTCTTTCTTTCTTTCTTTCTTTCTCTTCTCTCTCTCTTTCTTTCTTTCTTTCTTTCTTTCTTTTCTTTCTTTCTTTCTTTCTTTCTTTCTTTCTTTCTTTCTTTTCTTTCTTTCTTTCTTTCTTTCTTTCTTTCTTTCTTTTTCTTTCTTTCTTTCTTTCTTTCTTTCTTTCTTTCTTTCTTTCTTCTTTCTTTCTTTCTTTCTTTCTTTCTTTCTTTCTTTCTTTCTTCTTCTTCATCCTTTTCCTTCTTTTTTATTTTCTTCTTCTATTACTACCACCACATCCACCACTACCACTACTAATAATATTGCCGCACTACTACTTCTTCTTCTTTTTCTTCTTTTTCTTCTTCTTCTTCTTCTTCTTCTTCTTCTTCTTCTTCTTCTTCTTCTTCTTCTTCTTCTTCTTCTTCTTCTTCTTCTCTTCTTCTTCTTCTTCTTCTTCTTCTTCTTCTTCTTCTTCTTCTTCTTCTTCTTTTTTTCTTTTTCTTCTTCCTCTTCCTAAAACTGACGAAACGTAGTCCCCTTTTTCACCATCTGCAACAGAGTTTTCATCCTTCCTACAGAATATATTTCTGTATCCAGTTGCCGTCTCTGTGTTCTATATTCTAAAACTCGCATACTTTTTTTAACCAGCACGTTCAAAAACCAAAAGAAAACAGAATAAGCTCTTTTGAGTATTTGTATATCATTTTTTTTAACGTATACTATAACATTTTAAAAACTGTTTAGATTATTATTATTATTATTATTATTATTATTATTATTATTATTATTATTATTATTATTATTATTATTATTATTATTATTATTATTATTATTATTATTATTATTATTATGCACTTAAAAAACTGTACCAGTCCCTTTTCCTTTTTTACCCATAAATATTTTCTTTCCGGCATGAGGTATCCCTGTAGAGTACGAGTATTTGTGTGTAGTTTAACACCCTACAGGGACCTATAACAAGCGACTAGCACCCGGTGACACAAAATGCCATCTTTCGGATAACGATCACTCGAGCACAGGCCCCGAGTAACCCTGTTCATCCGTTAGATTACATATAAGGGTCCCCGACTAAAGCTGGGGTGGGGCTTTAACATAACGAAATATTGTTTCCCACATTAGCACAAGTTTTGAATAGTGTACCAGTATTCCTTATATTTCTACTCTTTATATGGTAGTCTGGTAGTCTGGTAGTCTTAGTTTCAGCTTCATAGCAAACGGGTCGCCCCATCTTTGCTCGGCTTCTGTGCCAGCGAAAAACACTCAGTCCCTTGTGGAAAGATTGACAGACTGCTGTCTCAGCATATCTAGCATACACTCGCAATAAAGCATATGGTAGCCATCCGAAGTGCTAACACAAACAGTCCAACATTAGAAATGCAGTTCATCATTGATGATAGCAGAACTTGTCGCCAACAGATCAGCAGTTGCCAGCGCGATCAATTTTAATACGGGTCCCGCCAGCATTGCACGACAGGCATCGCGCCATTTTCTGAATCTACAATTCACACCACGTTGGTCACAGTCGAAAAAAAACATTCCAAATGCAATCCGCAGCTCACAGGGTCACGCCATGCATTCAACTCAGAAGCTGGGCGACGAAACTATATCCAGTTGCAAATGCGCTTTGTAATGCCGTAGTGCTGGGTTCGATATCGCTGGCCGCTGACAACAAGCAGTAAATTACTATGCTTTCTGTCCGGTCACTAAGCGTGACACCCCCGCAATATAGGACAGGCCCTGCGACATAACCAGGAATGATAAGGAAGGGAAGTCGCTCTTTTTCTCTGGCGAAAAACGTTGCTTGAACCACATTACCGTACAACGGTACTATTGAAATATACCTACAACGTTATACATTGTTGTTATTCAATAAGTTATTATTTTCATTTTACATGTTTACTTTTATGCAACATTATAACTGATGACAGTGTCCAGCATGCATCTGCGAATTTTCAGGTGACCTGGCCACTGAGTGGAAGAACAGCCATCATAGTCACCACTACCACAACCACCACCACAACCACCACCACCATCGTCACCACTCGAAGGACAAAGGAGGAGAGAAGCAGGTCGCGGAGAAACAAAATCCAGCACCGGTCAATCCCACGCCAGCCCAGTAGGCCTGCAGAGGGTGTGTTCTCGGTCACACGGACAAGGTTGTATTGTCTGAATGGTTTGATTTACTATAATCTTCCCAGCTGAACTAGGTCACGGTCTATTATTAAATTTTTAAAGACTGGTTTCCTGTCCAGATAGGGAAGGAAACGGGAGGGGGGCGGGGGGGGGGGGAGGGGTTATGGCTATGCTGTTTACTTTCTGTCTTGTCTTGCACTTACGTTTTTCGTCCCCCCCCCCCTTCCCCACAAAAAATACCTGTGACATAAGTTGCAGCACTCTCTATTTAGGCGAGTTGGGGGTTAGACCCAGTTTGTTAAGGTTTTTATAGTGTTAAAAGCGCTGGCGTGCTTAAATAAACAACACGCCATGTGAACGCATTGCCGATCCCCCCTCTAGCAGTGTGCGAAGGTAGGGTAACTGGAGGTCGACCAATCAGGCGTGAGCTAGTGTGTACCGTGTGGGATATTATAATGGAATTAACTGTCTAAATGCGTATAGGACAGGGCTACTCACACAAAGATAATGGCAAGGCGCTTCAGCCTGTTTGAAGGCAAGGTTGTGTTCACGTTTCCCGACCCATCTACACAATACCTGACCTTTCATTTTTACTTTTTAGACTCTTCTACGTCGGAGGGGTGACACCTTGTCTTCCCTCTAGCTACATCAACGCCGATGTCACGTGTTCTATACTACACGACGTCACAGCTTTTAACGTTAAATTTTACGTTGGTCGCCCCATCTACACACTAGCTCGCTTCTGATTGGACTACCAACTGACCACCTCACGTCTGATAGTTCGGCCTCTAGAGATCCTACTTTCACACAAGGTCACGGGGATATTCCGCACTCGAGCTTATGTATATTTCACTATGCCATAGCTTTTAACACTTCTTAAACATTTAGATACTGGGCCTAACACCCCCCCCCCCCCCACATCAGAGAGTGACAAAACCTATGTCACGGACGTCTCTTTTTCTGAAATAAAAACGTAAATGCCAAAAAACAACAGACTGCGACACCCACAACCTTGATCACGGTAGACTAGTCCAGCCAACTTATCATGAAGTTGACCTACAACCGGTGGTGTGTAAATGGGGAGATCATCGTTTAAATAACCATTTTAAAGACGCCAGAATATGAAGAACTAGCCCTGACCTAACCCTCCCCACCCCCCCCCCACCCCAACCCAAACCTCTCTACCCACAGCCTCAACCTAAGTCACGCTCTTTTCGTAGAAAGCAGTACAATCTGACACCCCTCTAACCTAGATCAGACTGAGAAAGTGTGTAGATAGGCCTGGAAACGTGAACAGGTCCGAAAGAATTAATGATAATAAAGAGCTCGTGTCCATGCTTTCATACATATCGGGCATGACACATTTTATCGGCACTCATTGTGTGATGTAGTCAACATCCGGCCTGCTTCTAAAGGTCTTAACCACGTCTGCCTTATCTCTCATAAGTATTCAACCAAGTTTTGCAGAGCTAGCCAATGAGCTCGCCTGTTCATTTCCTACCACACCGACATGACTAGGAGAAAAGATCCAATGCTATTCGCCCGTTTCCTCTGAAGCTAAGCATGCACTCTTCACAAACCATGACCTTTTCGTCATATTTCTTGCAATTTCATTATTATAAAGTTTTCATCTGTAGCTGGCTCCTAGGTCGACCCAGCCTTGAGTGGGTACCGGGGGCAGTTCCGGGAAGTAAAGGCGACCGGCGTGATGCTGACCACATCACCCATCTTGTGCCGATTGGTCTATAAAATATAGATCTAGCCCTATATGCCTTATACGCCTAAAGGCATGGAAAAGGGTCCTTTACTTTTACTTACTTTACTTTTCATTTGTAGTATTTATAATGATTTATTTTTCATATAATTTATGCCGAGTGATGTTGGCAGTCGCGTTTCCTTACATCCTTCTGTCTCGTGTACTTTAAATCAATAATGGCACAGTTGGTCGTAGATAAAAGTAAAAAAAAAAAGTACAGGACCATTGTCCACGTCTTCAGACTTATTAGACACATAGAGCTAGACCTGTCTTTTCGGTAGGGAATGTGGTCAACATCACACCGGCCACATTTACTTCCCAGGACTCTACCTAGCACTCACTCCAGGCTGCATCGACCTGGCACCCAAAGTCATTTCGGTTCTGTCAAAACCCGAACCCAGGACCTTCCTATCCGCAGTCGCTACAGCACGGCGTCTCCCTGGTCATAACAAACTGGGAGCTGCGTGGTCACCAGGTATGGTGTCTCCCTCGGTATCCGTAAGGGCTGGGATTTTTTCACGTGGACTTGGACTTCTAGGTATTCCCCCTGGTCTCTGGGTAGTGAGATCGGACGCCCGTGTGCGTTGTTGCGCACGTAAAAAATCCCTTGGCAGTTGGAAATCGAAAGGAGTAGCTTAACGGCGCTTCCCGGGCCAATTTTAGAGTTTAAAATCTACCCAAAGTATTTGAGGATCCTCGCCGGTGCTACAGAGCATGTCCACTGTGCTTGGCTTCTATGGACTTAGACCTGAGTTAGAAGAAGAAAGGAGCACTTATGGGTTACTACCCGTGTGCCATGATGTTGATCCATTGTTCAAAGCTTAAACCTCAATATTACAAATTGACCTCAGCTTTTATCTTGGCCTCCAAAGTTCTGCGTGGTTTGATTTTTTTTTTAGGAATGCCTTCTAACATTTTTATCTTTCTGTTGTACCCTCACTAGGTCACTGAGGAAAAAGATTGTAGCTTTGAACTGAAATGTTATAGAAAGATTCTTAGAATACCATAAATCAAGAAGAGGAAAACATCGACATTCTAAACGAGTTAAACATCGGGGAGAACTTATTAATAAAAAGCATCCTGTCCTGAAAATTGAAGCATTTTAGCCACAACAAACGTCATGGAGGCTTGGAAAAGACGGTGATGGAGGGTGCAGTTTGTGGAAGGCGAGGCAGGGGTAGACCTCCGCGAAGATTGATACAGAACATTAAAGATGCGTTAGCTTTGAAAGCACATGGGGCCGGAGAGCTGGCTTGGGAAGAGAATACTATCATTCGTGCCGTGAAGAGATCGACGTTCTATAAATGACTTGATGATGATGATGATGTACCCTAATAATGCACCTGTAAAAACAGCACCTAGGCTAATTCCACAATACATTATCCCTATAACAATTATAACGAATTCTAATAGGTACTTGCTTCTTTCTCTACAGGTCAGGATCGTATGCAAGGATCATATACATATGCAAGACGGAGTTTACTAGTAATAATAGCTGATTTACAAACATTTTGTAATATTAACAGATAACACCGTGTACCAATTAGAGTTGCGCTTTATCAGCAGTGCCTAGAATTATACAAATATCTAATTTTAATGAATACCATATTTAGAATTAGAAGAAGAAATAATAATTAAATATTGTTTTGAAATATACATAAGATGCAGGGCATAGACGCCCTCAACTCTTCATATCAAAAGAATAAATAAAAGTAAATTATAAACAACGTTTCCCCTTTATTATGTTGTAGGGTTACAGCTAGCTTTGTGCTTTGTGGAAATTATTCAAACATCCTTAGAATGCTTCTGTTAGATTACGCTCCTTTTCTAAGTTAAGCATTAGACTTCAATATTTATTGTTATGATCAACTTTAAAGGTTTAAAGGACGTAATATCATTTGTACTGTATGCAGTAATAATACGTTAGTCAAGAAAGTGTTTTCTATTTCTTTATATAGCTTCCACGAGCACATTGGTTTGCTATTTCTCTCAATGTCAGCAGAGTGAGCTATTAGGTCTGGCTTGGTGCCGTGGTTGTCCCTAGTTCTTCTTCCGTGTCAAGTATTATTTGCATCATTAGACTGTTGTTATACACGAGAGCAAATCGGTAGTTCCGTGTACATACTAAGACAACAGATGCTAAGTTCAGTCTGTTTTCCATTCCTGCTCATACGGCAGGTTTTGTAGTCTGTCGTGTATTTTCTGAGCTTTTTGTGTTTCCATGTGGGTTCCCTCCAGGGCCAACCAATGTGCCCTCTAAGTCCAGTATTGGCACTGTCTATTTACTGCTGTTCTTTGGTGTATAGCATTATTAAACTCGATAATACAAATGAAAAAGGTATATTTCCTTATTTTGCAAACCATTTAAAGTTGTACTTCTTGTCCCCCCCCCCCCCCCCTGGTTATTTTAGTCTCAACATCGATGTGTTTTTCGCAAATGTAAGCATCGAATTGCCTCCTATTTCCTTTAAAATATTAAAACCTCGGTTCTGCAAGCCGATTCCCTGACTGCATGTTCATGTTTCAATTGCGTATGTTTGTTAACTTGTTTTTCCTAGTCATAGTTCCAAGTAGTCAGTTCGTAAGCATTTAATTAAAAGAAAATGGTTTTCTACCAAACCAAGTGCGTTTAAAGTTCCTTGTGTTTGTTTGTTTTGCTTTAAAGATGCAGTAACAAATTACCAAAATTATATTCACTCTACTGTATGTTATTTTAAGTGAATTAATTCATTTCTGTTGCGAAGTGTGATGTAAATGATGAATCTGAAGCTAAATGTGCATTCGGTCCTCTTTTCGCTAGTAGTCGATGTTGTGTAGAGTTGGTAGTTATGTTGATGTCCATAGCTTCTATCTCGTTTACTTTCAGTAAAATAAATATATATTTTGCCCAACATTCTAATGCTAGACTGCCCAAGATTATAATGTTGAATATACATTGTGATGCAGTGGTACATTATGTTATCTTACGCTATCACAATCGGCCTCATTGCACATTGATCACTCTGATGTACACAGCCTTCTGATACAGCTGCCACTCCAGAGTACCTCTGCTTATTGTTCCCAGCTGATTATAGTGTCTACTGTCTTAACCTCGGAGACGGCATAGACGTGGTTTACTGCCAGGTCACACAATTATGTTGGTATTAGTGTGATTCCTCTTTTTTTCCTAAACTAGTCAGTTCAGCATTGTTGATACCAGCTCTGTCCATGCTTCTTTTAGTTTGCATTTAA